AGTTGCCCTCTGTCTGGATAGAGGTTGGTGAAGGGCTTACTAACATGTGAAGAGAGTTAGTTTGCTCTTTCCAGCCAACTTGGATGAAAACATTCTTCCTCGTCACCCTCATCCCCAGCCCAAGACCAAGGCACCTAGAGACAGAAGCAGGGATGGGCATCAGCTTGGGAAGCCAACTAGGGACCTGGCCAGTGGGGGTCATAGCCACTGTATGAGCTGTACCAAGCACTGTTGCAGGGCTGCTGAAGCAGCAGCCTGAGACTAGCCAAGCTTGGAGGGGAAAGTGGATGAACCAGAGGCCTGTGGGGGAAACGCAGCAGCAATTCAGCCCCTGCAGAAAAGAGTGATGGAGCCTGGAAGTGAGCCACGGAGGGATAATGTCGGGGAGTGACTAACTGGGGGCAGGAGGGGGTTAGTTCGGTCCTTCCAGCCCCTGAAAGTGCTGGTCTGGAGGGGGAGAGAGCACCCATGTCTCTAGTCCCTAGCCCCGGGCAGGACTGTGCCAGGGCACTTGCTACTGTGGGGTTTAAATAGGCAGTAAGGAGATGGTGCCCTGGACTGCAAGAGGAGCAGGGCACCGCCCAGCCTTTCACTCCTGCAAGATCCTTTATGAAGTACCCTGCACCACTAAACACATTGCATGAAGGGCCATGCCACAACCCCTCCACGTACTCCATGGTGCAGTTCACCTCCCTGGAGTAGGGTCTACACACAACTGGATCCCACCCACGTTGTACATATGGCGTGGACATGTGAGCCCCCATCAGCTCTGTTAGTCCCTGGGCTGTTGCCTGGAAATCTGTAATAAAGCAGTAATGAAACCACCCTTTCTGGGACTCTGGAGTCTTTGTGGTCATCTCTTTTGGCTCCTTTGGTACTTTATACCAAGGTGAGGACACACCTATAGAAAGAGGCAGGCAGCACACTTAGACTGATTCCCACTAATGGGCAGCATCTTCCATTTTATTGTGATTTCCAAGGGCAAGACAATAATTTATCACCATGTCAGGGCTACAATACGTTATCTTACAAGCAGGCATTGATTGACTCATGGCTCTGCCACCCGCACACAGCCAGCAAAGTGTCTAGGGGCGACAGACCCACCAAGATACCCATCTGTGGGGATGGTGCAGTGGGCATCTTGCAGTCAACGTGAGAGATGAACCCACAAAATACAGCCCCGTGCACACAGCGATTCCCTCAGTACCTGAAAGTGCTTCCAGCAGCCAGACTACAGCCACAGCAGGGCCGGAGGTACTGAATAATACCTGGCAACAGCTGTGGGGGTGACACTGAAAAGGCGGCAGCAGCCACAGCTGCAGAAAATGCCATCACTTGGCAGCAGCAGAGAGGGGCCTGGAGTCACAGGCCATGGCGTTTGCAGCTAAGGCCCGTCGCCACCTGGGAAAGTCCGAGCACCCATCTGATCTGGCAACTGCTCTCCAGCACTCCCCAGTCCTAGATGCTGCAGAGGGAGGCTTAAACCCCCCACGCTGCATTTTGTTGTCCCACGTGGGCTCCATCTGAACCCCCTTAAAGTCAATGGAAAAGATTCCTGCTGATTTCAGACAGCTTTGGATCGAGCATGACAAATTTCTTCCAGGTCAGAAGTCCAGTTAAAGAGAGTGGACAGATGAAAGACTTACACTGCAGCAGTCAGTGTTACACCAGCAAAGGAAGCAGACACAGTGCAGACCCCTGAAGCGTCTGCACAATTGTGCACAATCCCCTTGAAGAGTCGCCCTGAAAGAATCACAGGTAGAACTTTTCCAGTGCAAGTTAAACCAGGTTAGGGTTGGTCTGTCCAAGTCTATCCTGGGGTAACCAGCTGCTCCAAACAACCAAGTTCGTTATGTACCATCTAGTACCATAATAGACACCAACTGTAGGAGCTATCTCGGAATAGGTGTTCATCTCTCCATTCCTGCTCCCAGGGTTTTATTTTGGTGAGCAAAAGCAATGTCCGGGTCACTAGAGCATATGTTTGGCTGCCTGTGCCCTCGACCTATTTGAAGAACTCCAGATCTCTAAGGCTCACTGTCTCGCAGGGCTAGATTGTATCCGCTGTACTTCTCCTCCCCTCCACGATTTCATTAAAAAAGGGAGCCTAGAAGAGCTCAATAAACCCGCCCCACGGGAAAACGGTGCCCAGGGGGTGGGGAATCTGCAGCCGGCTCAGTGAGGGCTGCTCTGCTCTGGGTCTGGGGAACCGAGCGATGTACCGTGGAACATGGAAAAATGAATCCACCCTTCGTGCAATATCCAAAATCAGGGGGAAACCAACCTCCCCATGCGCATCTGTTTAAGATTAACGCCATCTGCTTATCCGTCCTCCAAGTGGGTCACACACCTTTCTCCCACCCCACACTGGCTTAGCCTGGCCCAGCCCTCCTCCCCACAGCCCCAGGCCAGCTTCCTGCCTTGCATCCACTTTGCCCTGTGCCCCGCTCTCAGCCCTGAATTGTTCAGTGACCTTCATGGTGTTTCACTGCGTGCTTTGGTTCGGACGTGCCCCTGCAAAACCAAGAGGCTTGTTCATGATGAAATGCTTCAGAGGGAGGAAGCAAGCAGGGATAGGCTGGGGATGGGTTTGGTCTCAGCCCCGACCTTCCAGACTTGAACAGCCCTATTAAACTGATCTCACCGTAAGGTTTTCTCACCTGCTTTGGGGCTGTGCCTGCTGTCAAAAGCCCAGCCGGCAGGACCCGCTTGCTGCAGCTCACCTGAGTCTCAGTGGTACTAGCCCCTGATGCAACTCCACTCATGCCAGGGGCTTTGAGTTGGCGTCGCTGGGTTGCCACCAGTGGAAGAAAACCCAGCTTTGCTGCACAGCTGCTGAAAGGCGATGAGCCCTGGGCTGGAGACCCACGTGACAGCTTGAACACGCGGCTGGGCGTGAGGCTCTTCATGCTGCCTCTTGGTTAACGGAGTGGCATGAGCACTGCCAACCCACCAACCCCTCCGACCATCCGGTGCCAGGGTGATCCCCCCACAGTCAGCTCAGTGCCCCAGCTCCACTGACTGCTTCTGTGCTGTCAGCTTGGTGTGTTAGAGGCTGTTTGCGAGCAGAGCGTGAGCTGTGTCTAGGGAGAAGCCTGCCTGGAGAGTCTGAAATGATGGCTACATGTCTGCCAGTCTCCTTTCCAGGCCCTTTCCCCCAGCCCCAGTGCTGACTGCTGTGATGTGTACTCCAGCTGTGCTGTAGGAGGGGGCATGCCACCAGGACAGGTGCAACAAGGCCTCAGTCAAGGCAAAGCAGACTTGGAAAAGGTGTGGTGGGATGGGAACTGGAGGCAGAGCAGGGAGGGACATGACCAAGGTCACCCAGCAGGTCAGTGGCAGAGCTGGGGAGGGTACCTGGGCCACTAGTTAAGTAGAGCAGCTGCCACCCTAGTGGCCAGGTGAGTCAGTGGAGCTGGGGGAGGCGTGGCATGGCCACATGTGTCCAGTACAGCATACCACACTGCCGAGTGACCCGGGTAACGGGTTCACCCTGCTGGAGTCCTTGCTTGGCCTGCGGCTGTTCCCCTGTAAACGCCTCCACACAACAGTCCTTTGCAGTGCCCATGTTCACACTGCCCCACACCTGAGGGACTGGCTTGGGAAAATCGGGCTGGTGTCCAGCTCTGTGAGCCGCAGAACATCCCAGAATCCATTGCCCACCCTTGCTGCTGGTACGCCTCTCTGCGCAGGCCCCCTAGGCACTCTATGACCTGCTGATGCATTATGGGGTAGCCTTCCCCGAATGTGCTGCTACAGCCTGGAAGGTCTAGACGTATGTATTATTCATTATTCAATTATTCGTATTATATTGTGCCTGTACTGTAACGTAAGGGCAGAGGCTTAAGTGAGTATAACGAGGCGGGGGGCATGAGAATGACCTGGGCTGCAGTCGGGCTCCCCCCCAGTGGCTGTCTGATCTTTTATTGCTGCTTGGGGCATATTACTTATGCTGCCTGTGCCCCTCTACTTATGCAGCAGCAGCTCCCGTGATCAGCCTAGGATGTCCCCAGATCCACCCTGGGAGGACTGGCCAAAAGCAGCAGCTATGGTAGGAGCATTGGGGGTGACATGGTATATTAACTTGTATAGAAGCAGGACATTGGTTGCCATGGCTCCCCTGGTTTACCTGGGGCTGGTTCGGGTGTGATGTCAGTGTTGTGTCAGGGCTGATGGTAGTTTTACAAAGAGTTTAGGTTATGGATTTGTATAGGCTGGTGTGGATAGGGATGATCCTACCTCAGGCAGGGGCTTGGACTAGATGACCTCTGCAGGTCTCTTCCAGCCTGACTTCTCTGTGATTTCTATGATTAAGACCTGGTAGGATGGACAGAGCTGACTTGACAGAATAGGGGGATCTGTATCTTCATGAACTTTAACACTGATGTCCAGTGTAGCCTCAGGGGGTGATGCAGAGGTGACATCCGTAAAGGGCCACATTCATCTCTGCTGAGAGCTACCCAAATCCACCGACCCCAAGCCAATTCCTCTGCAACCACGCTCCACTGCATCTGGGCAGATGTGGTCCCTTCTCCTTCCACCCTCCCCTATAATTAAATGCTCTTCAGTATCCAAGTATCAAAAACAGAGCTCCGGCAGGCCAAAGCAGCCCGCAGCTGTACCTGTGCTAACTCAGTGCACAACCGAGTATTACAAGCCAACGAGCAAAGCTAAAAAGCAGACTTATCATTGCCACGAACAGCCACTGGGGGGCCATGGATACATGCTATGCTTGTACATGCCAAAAAAGGAATTGCAAACATTTTGGGAACCCTTTTTTTTTTTTTTTTAAATAAAACAAACCCAATGCTGGGTTCTAGTTCCTGTGAAATCAATACATTAAAACCCCCTGTGGAGGGGGTGGGGGGTGGAAATGCCAATAATATCAGGTCCCCCAGGTCCCTTCCAGAACTGGCCAGGTAGCTAGTAAAACATTAGAAACTTAGGAAAACCATATTGTAAAGGACTTAAATAGAACAGAGCAGAAAACAAGAGAGTGGGATCTGAATGGGCAGTTTCCTTTCTGACCTCATTGTTCTCCATCAATAAAACTGAATATTCTCCCATCAGAGTTGTCCTTTTTCTGCCTTCCCGATGCCGTAGTAGTCTCCTGAGATCTGAGGAGACCTCTTGTTGCAAGTTTTCATTGTGTCTACAAGTCAATGTTCCTCTCAGGAAAGCTGAGACGAGTTAGTGATGTACTGGCGGGGGCACCAACCAGGCCCACAATACTCCTTGCCCACCTCCCCCATCACCAGGTGCTGAGTACTGAGAGGGATCAGGCATTGACACGGGGAAGAAACAACTAAGGAGTTGTCCCACGGTGTATATGTCACTGTAAAGTGGCCGACAGTTTTCAGGGCAAGCTGGAGCACTTCTGTGAAGCCCAGAGCGGCTTGCAAAACACCCGGCTTCCCAAGCTGGTTTAATGCCTCGCTGAGAACAAAACTCATTGGGCCCAACTCATCGGGCCCACCCTGACCACGATCATCCTCCTGGTTCATGGCAGGGTTCACAACCCCAGCCCCGCACGTGGGTGCCGGCCTTCCAGAGACCACGGGGATGGACCCACCAGTCCCTCAGAGGCTGGAGGCCAATACTGAGCAGCCCCTCCACTGCGCACAGCAGGGGCCCCAGGGCTGCAGTGCATTGTGGAGAGAGAGTCGTAGACCTAAATACCGCCTTTGAGCCCCTTGTCATGCCATGCACAGTCCTGGCCATGCTTCCCTTCATGTCCCAAGGGGCCTCTTTTAGCTCACGTTGCATGGGGGACATCAACAGCCAGCTGCTCCTGGCGCTCTCCATCATCACAGCCTTATCCAGATCCTCCCTCCACCCCCCTCCCCACAAGGCAGGTCAGTAGGGGATCACCTATTCCACGCAGAGGCATGCTCTGCATGTCCCAGGTGGGAAAACTGAGGCACAAGTGGCCAGAGAGGGAATGGAGGTGATAGCTGCAATTAGAGTTCAGAAGCCCCCGGCTGCCAGCCTTGCACCCAGGAGAATCAGCCCCTGCCCCTTGCTTTTCCTCCCTGTGGCTGGGCGTTGCAGGCTCCTGGAAGCCACAATCTCTCGACCTCTGAGTTACCCCTCTCCTTGGTGCCTAGGACCCATAGGTGATGCACCGGTCGTGCCGCCACTTGGAGCTCATCTTGTCCAGCAGGTACCGGGTGCTCTCGCGAAACTTGCGCTGGGTGAAGTAGAAGAGGATGGGGTCCAGGACACTGTTCATGCTGGCAAAGGGGCGGGTGCACTTGTAGGGGATGGCAAAGGCCTGCAGGACCTCACAGTCCACGCTGGGGGAGGAGCGGACGATCAGGTAGATGGTCTTGGTGAGGTGGAAGGGGAAGAAGCTGATGGCGAAGACGATGACCACGATGATGATCATGCGGATCGCTTTGTCCTTCTTCTGCCGCACGGCCAGCCCGATCATCTCATCCTTCTGGCACAGGATCCGTGTCATGCTGCAGTAGCACACCAGGATGGAGGTGAAGGGCATGAGGAAGCCCATGGCTGTCAGCGCGATGCCGTAAGGGAAGTAGCTGGCCGAGCGGTCGGGCGGGCTCAGGTCGTAGCACACAGTCCGGTTCCTCTGGGTGCCCGTGGAGGCGAAGACGAAGGTGGGCAAGCACAGGGCCACCACGACGAGCCACACCACGCCGCACACCAGCCAGGTGAACTTCTTGCCCCGCTTCTTGTGCCAGGTGGAAAGCGGGTGGCAGATGCCCAGGTAGCGCTGGACGCTGATGCAGGTGAGGAACATGATGCTGCCGTGCAGGTTGGTGTAGAACTGGAAACGCACGAACCTGCAGGTGAAGTCGCCGAAGGGCCAGTAGTCCTTCTGCGTGTAGTTGTAGATGAGGAGGGGCAGCGAGCACACGTACAGTAGGTCGGCCGTGGCCAGGTTCAGCATGTAGATGGTGGTGCGGGTCAGCGCCTTCTGGGACGCCCAGATCTGCCCGATGACGACGAGGTTGAGGGGGAGCCCCACCACGAAGACCACCGAATAGACCACGGGCAGCAGGATCTGCTTGAACTCTTCATGGAAGGTGCAGTTGCTCTTCCCCCCGGCAGGCGCAGTGAGGTTGTCCATCCCCAGCGTCGGCCTCAGCAAAGCCTGCAAACAAAACACATGGGCACAGTCAAGGACTAGGTGCTACATTAATGGCCCTGGGAACCACGAACCCCAAACTTAACCCTGTGGCTGTGAGCACAGCTCCATCTCCCACCCTCAGCTCTGCCCCATGGACCCTCTATCTGTTTTAAGGCCTGGCTTGCAGATTTTCACCCTCACAGCCCCCAGGATAGCCCAGGCTAAGCCTTCACCCCAAGACTCCTGCACTGAGCTCAAAGCTACTGGTTGATCCAGATGGTTTCATTGTGGACCCCCTGTTACCACGCAGCCCCAGACCGCACAGACCAGACCCCTTTCTGCAGCCTCCTTTACGGACCGGCTCCCCACTCGCCCAGAGCTGCCCCCTCCTCTCACTGTCGTGTAGGAGGGTCACACGAGCACCTAGGACCCCAGGCAAGGTCAAGGCCGCTCTGTGCTCAGTGCTGCACCGATGCACAGTGAGTTCTCACCTTGAAGAACCTGCTTTAGTGAAGCTCAAGGCAGAGCAAGGGAAGGAGGGAGGAAGCGTCGTCTCCCCCCGTCTTGCACGTAGGGAGAGTGACTCAGAGAGATGCGGTGACTTGCCCTGGGCACAGTGTGAGTCATACACCAAGCCTGGCCTAGTGCTTTACTCACCAAGCCATTACCCTGCTCCTGCCACTGGCTCAGCTGCAACATTGCTGGTACCCGTCTGCTCCCTTGCAGCCTCAGCTGCCCAGAACAGCCTCTGCATCCTGCTTTTTCATCACCCCCTGCAACATCTCCTCCCTTGGCTCTGCCTCTTCATGGCCTCTTTCTCTCCATCATTAGTATTCCAGCCTCTGAGTGTCTTCATTCACAGGCATAAATCAGTGTGGGTCAAGCAGTGATGCCACAAATTAGCCTTGTACTCTCCCCAAGTGCCACTCTGATATGCCAGCACCTTGACTACACTGTGGCTTTGCTGTCCTAGCAGCATGGGACGCCTGTATACAACCCTAGTGTAGAACAGGCCTAAAATAGTGTGGATACCACCAAGTACCATGAGAACTATTTTATGCAATGTTTCCCCCAGAGGGACCATGAACCCTGCATAAAGGAAAGAAACAGTCTGAGAAAGTGCAATTTGCACAGGAAGCAATGACTTCAGCTAATGAATACCACAGCAAGCCACAGATGCATATGTCGCAAACTCCGCAGGGAGGACAGGCTGCATAACGCCCAATGCCCAAAGCAAAGGATGGCAGGTTGCAGAAAGTAACAGGATCCTTGTAGCCAGGCCTCATCCAGCTGCCCCTGAAATCAACTGGAGGCAGTGGGAGCTAATCCAGCTCTAAATGCAGGGTGGTAGCTACGTGCTCCCCTGAGTGCCATACAGAGTGCCCAAGCACAGGGACATGTGCACTAAGGTACTCAGAGACCCGCAGGCAGATGGAGCAGAGATGGCCCCACGTGATGGTTTGAACATGCAAACCTTCCACCAGGACAGGGCTGTGCTGTGCACCAGCTACTCAGCGGTAACTGCCCATGTGCCCGCTTTTACCCAGTGGTGAGTGGGAGCTAAACCGTGGTAGCTCAGCCCTCAGTGGAAGAGCAGTAAATTAGTGCAGGTTAGTCTCCTTCTACTCTGGGCCATGACCGTGGCCTACCCAGAGCAAAGCCTCATCCTTTTAACCTCATGGCAAGTCACTTGCACGTCCACATCCCGATCTGGATTCCCGATGCAACCAACGTGGCTTACAGGCGTGGGTGAAATGAGCAGGGCATCAGCGGCAACAAAGGGACCCCAGTGATGGAGGGGAAGTGGGGACAGGATGCAGCACATATCGCTGCAAAGCCCCTTTGTTTCTGGTTCCTGCTTCCCATGGAGGTTAGGGTGCACCAGGCCGGGCTGCTGCTCATCCCCTGCACCGAACAACGAGCTGGGGCAAGGCAGAAGCCCCCTGGGTCCCTTCTGTGTGGGAAAGAGCATCAGTGGAGCAACACACAGGAGATGTGCCAGCTGCCCTACGTCAGCTCCGCCCCAGCAGGGACAACATTGAGTTGGGGCCAAGCCACAAACCAGGCACCCCCATGATGAGAGGAGAGGCTTGGCTAGTGGACAGGACAGACGTCGAGGGGACAGTGCTCGGCGGAGCCAGTCTCTGCTGCAGGCACCAGCGTCCTGAGGGAACTCAGCACCTCCGTGGCCTGGGAGGGGACCCGTGCCATAGTGCAAAACTATAGGGTCCCCGTGAGACCCCGAGAGGTCCCGGGTGGCCTTGGGAGCCAGGCTAGAGAGATGTGGTCACAAAAGACAGAGGTGAGCATGACCCAGACGCTGAAATGTGAGCCCTGCTTCACTGGGAGAGTTAGTTACCAAACAAAAAGCAACCCAAGATAGAGGGTTTGGCAACTAAGCTGAAAGAAACCACCATGAAGGCCACAGGAGGCAGCAGGAGCTAGTGGGTAAAGATGATATTCTTGGCATCGGGAGACTTGAGAGCTGGTTTCAGCTCTGCTGCTGACCTGCTACGTGGCCTGAGCCAAGGCCCTTCACCTCTCGTTTTCTCCTCATTTTTGGGGCCGTTTTAAGCAAGTGACCTACCTGGAGTGGTTAGGCTCTATCCCAGCACATGATGGCATCAGAAAGAAAGAAATTAAAGGAAGAACATAAGCAGGAAATAGAGCCTATTTTGCATTGCACAAGCTCCTATTGTTCCCCAAACTCTTAGATCAGGGAATGAGTGGGTTGTTGAGAGAGTGAATGCTCAAGAGAGGCATTTCCACAACTTGAAAGCAGGTTTTTTCAGCAGGCAGCACACACTCTTATGCTAAGACATGCACCAGTTACCTTGCTAGCAGGGCTTGCTCCCTGTCCCGTTGATCAGTCAGTTCAGAGTCTCGCTGGGACATTCGGGAGCATAGTCCAACGAGACTTTCTTCCCAAACTGTTTTGTTTCATTATTTTTACCGGTACTCTTACTCCTATGACTGGCTACTTACAGGATACTTATATTATTGATTTCTTACTATTGGGCATTGCCCTAAAACCTTATCTGCATAGACACACCCACACCTGCATGCCTGTCTTCTCAAACCTCCTCTCTCTCTGCGGGATGTGTCCCGTTGACAGTGTTTAGGTTTTGGCAAAGTTTATAACCACTTGCCTAGCTCTAACCAGACAGTGACCCTCTCACCCACTCAGCTGCGATGCAGCACCTCGCAGGACTGGACACTGCCAGCTTTATGGTTACACCAACATCCTAGCTCATCTCAAGGAAAACTAAGCTTCGGGTTCAGGAAACTGTCATCGGGTCATGTATAGCCTATGCCAGTCAACCCTGGCTTCTCTCACAAAGCCCCGTGACGTCGCTAGATCATTCTGAAAAGGAAGATTTTACCGAAAATCTTTGGTGTACTTCACAACATGGTCCCATAACACAGGAATGGTGCATAACAACCAATACTGAGCAATATGGATTATACGGAGGCCCAGCCCCGACAGAAAATCAGAGCACGATGACTACAGCAGCTGAGCCATATTGAAGGGATGGAAGCAATCCGGACACCTTGGGGTGCCGGAGGGGAGAAGGCTGCCTGGATGAGCAAGGCTCATTACATGTCTTTGAGTGGCTTTGTGTTTGCACGCAATGAATCTGCGGATGCTTTAATTTACAGCAAGCCAAACTAAACTATGTCTGAGGAGTTTTACTTTAATGTGCCAGAATGACTTAAAAAAAATCCAGAAAACCCACTCGTGCAAAGAGTCACGCCACTGCAGAGCAAGAAAGAGCAAAAAATGTGGCGTGTATAGAGGCCTGGCATCAGCTTTGTTAAAGAGCCCGATGCTCTTGGTTGAGGAGCTGCAGGTGACAGCCCTGCTCTTGTGGCACCATGGAGATTTCTACCACCCAGCTTAACCTGCTCTACGCATGGGCAGATTTGGTCTCAGACCGTGCAACAAAACTCTCCCTGGGACCTACAGGCCATCGCAGAGGCCCCTCTCCTGCGCCAGAGGCCAGAAGCACCCCTCCAAGAAAGCCATGGAGCAGCGAGCCCAGAGAGGAGCTCTTGATTCCTCTTCCACGAAATGCTTCGCGGTGCGTGCTGGTTCCTGCCTAGGGAGACGTCCGACGGGAGAGACGGGCACGCAGGTGAGAGAGGCGAGTCACATCGCTGAGGGCATGGCTGGCAGGCACTCAGATGCTGCCAGACGGACTCAGCGTGGCATCTGCGAGGGTCAGACAGACACTTCTGCAAAGCAAGGAAGCCCGTCGAGGACTTCTGACCTGACACAAAGCCCTGCCTTCCCCTGCTCTGCCTGGTCCAGCAGTTCGGCTTAATCCACCAGGCTGTGGGCTGAGCAGGAGAAGATCCTGGGGGTCTCCTTCCCAATCTACTGCCAAGAGCCATCTCTCTTCTGCCACCTCTTTTACCTGCTTAGACTGCCAGGGCTTCCTATCGCCTGCTCCTCTGTGTAGGTACAACACCCAGCACAAAGGGGCCTGATCCTGGCCAAGCCTCAGGGGGCAACTATGATACAAATAATGCTGTTTTCAGGAATGAAGCATCAGCTTTGTTTCCAGGTGCCCATAGGAGAGATTTGTTTGCCCAGCAATGGTACGACCCCGCTCCTCTCTAATGATAAACCTCGCCTGGTGGGAAGATTTCAAGACCCCACATTGCTGTGGAGGAGAGCAATCCCTGTTTGAGCAGTCCCTTACCACCCTGTCTGCTGAGATGCAGGACCCTCACGGAGCAAAAGGAGCAATGTCTTCAAAGCTGTCCCACCACCGTGTCTCGACATACGTGGATGCCATCTGGGCTCCCAGCTGCTCTGCCCACGTTAACCCCAAGTGGCAAGACAGCGAAAGTGACAGCGTCACAGAAGCCGCAGTGCAGCACATGCAGCCACCTCTTGGGTGGAACAAGACAGCCATATAACACTAAGCAATGCATAACAGCGTAGGACCCAAAAAATCAAACCCTGGAGATAATGCAGTGGAACAGAGCCCCGGTCTGGGAGTCCGGTGTTCTGGATCCTCTGCCTCCAATTTACTCTGCGATCTTAGGCAAGTCGTTTTTACCTCTCCATGCCTCAGTTTCCCTGCTGACAAACCTGGATATTGATAGTTCCTTCTACTCTGCCACACCTTTGGAAACCATAAATGACATTTCCAGAAGCTCCCAAGTGACTTAGTAATCCGAATCCCACCACGCACCTCTCTGCATTAGGTGTGAGCAGGGAGGGGCTGGCAGATTGATATTCAGTGAGAATAAGGCTTCTAAGTCACATTCAGATACTTGAGATCAATATCTGGTATTAGCCATGTTGACACCCCTCTGACAGCGCAGAAGCAGACAGCACATGCAGAGCCAAGAGACACAGGTCTTACCAGCCTATTGCAAAAATCACCCATGGGTTTGTCCCAGGGGCTGCCCCGCCACCATCCTCGGGTTGGTGATGCCAGTCCCTGCTCTCTGCCACACTGCTAGTCACACAAGCAGGGACACGCTTGGGCAGCGCCGAATTGCAGCACCGGCTGTCACTCGGCCCCTGAAAACACGCCTTCTTCCTCCACATTTCTAGCGTGACGGTACCGCTGATGGGGCAATGCTTTCCCTTTGCATTCAGGCTGTGCTGCGAAATGGAGCAGGACAGGGAAACAGAAGCGCTCGGCCATGCCTGGCAGCCTCAGCACTTCCTGAGCACTTGAATGGTTTCATCATCCTGAGAAACACGAGATTTGAGTTTCCCCTTCGCAGAGCTGAGCCTGGAACCGCATGCCTCACCCAGGCCAGTTATGTAGGGGAGGTGGGGGCATGCTTTCATAAATGGGCTCTGATTTCGAGTGCCCAACTGGAGATACCCAGCGCCTCATTCTCAAACATGCCAAGGCTCCAATGAAAGTCAATTAGCAGCTGTGGGGCTAAAAAAATAAATAAAAAAATCAGGCCCTAAATGTCCATACTTGGGCAAACAAAATTAGTGGTTCTTTTGGAGTATACAGCTCTTTGTCGCTTGGGCCCATGGGGGCAGCAGTAGAGTATGGGGGGGTGCTCTTCTGCAGTAGGGGTGTGCTGGTCAGGTCAGTGACCAGGATCGGGGCCCTAATGGGCCCTTGAGAAGCGGATGGAAGAAGACAGCCAGCGGTTGGCGTACAGCCAGGACTTTCTGCAATACCAGCCATCACCTATCCTGGAGTGCCACTGAGCAGAGAGAAATGCTAACTATCACACAGGACTATCGGTGCACGATACCTGTATGACTACCTCTGCCCCAGGCTCTGTTCATACTGGTTTCCATGTCATCTAGATCACTGGCTCGGGTCCCTGGTGTCCATGCCTTTCCAAGCATTCACACTGTGAGACTGACTGCACCGACACAGTTGCTTAGGTGGCACCCTGCAAACCTCACAAAGACCTTGTAGGATTATGTCCTCACAGTGTTTTGAACACAGATGCATATGCACACACATCCTCTCCAGCAGCCAAAAGCTACCAAGTCAGTTTGGAGTAACAAGCTGATGCATGACTGACAGGGAAAAAAAGCACCATTTAGGCAGAGAAGCCTGTTGGTTTACAATGTTATTTTAGAAAGGAATGAAAAATACCTTGCTAGAGCCCTTTAAGGCCCTGTCCCTGCTTTAGCAAAGAAAGATATGGGATAGATGTCATAGGGACTGGAGAGAGGCTCAGATTTCAAGAAAAAAGCAGCTTTTTCCCAGTGATAAAATATTGCATGGCATACAATCCAAACTAGCTCCCCCACAGCTATTCCAAATTCCCTTCTTCATGAACTGCCCGTCTCCTGGAAATATCGACTTCCAGCTTTGTCAATGCCTTGCATACATTCAGGCTCACTCACAGTGCTCTGTCTCTTTAAATGTAGTTAACTAGGGCAGATGTTTTGCCAGGGCAAACAGCTGGAGCTAGATTTCCAGAAGAGCTCTGTGCCCCGGGTACCAGGGGCTTCTGAAACCCTGGCCTTCAGGGCTTGCCATGTTCCCTCAACTATAAGATGCCCTTGAACTGAAGACAGGCCTGAATTCCTCGACTCGCCATTTAAAAAAACAAAACAAACCATCAAGTACACACTGATGATCAAAACATGCTGACAAGGAGATACCCTCCGTGGTGCAAGCAAGAGCCATTTCTTTTTTTTCATACTCACTTTAAGGATGTAGGCCAATTTCAGAAGAAATATTTTACCTGAAAAATCTCTCCATGCAAAGCCCTGCCCAGCTGGTGCAGGTGGCACCAGATCTGATGCTCCTGATTTCCCAGATCTACTGCCCGGGTCACATTTCTTTGCTTATGCCAGGGACTCACTGGTACCCACCAGACCTGGCCTGAGCTTACACACACATACATTTCCTCTCAAGAAACTTC